ATAACAAAATTTAAATATTTTAAATTAAAAATTAGGTTAACTAAATTTTAATAAAGAGAGTAATTATTATCTTATTAAAAAAAGTCTCTTTTTTTATGAGATAAATACATAAATTATTTTTAAATTTTTAATTAAAAAAAAAAAAGTCAAAAGGTGAAAGTTATTTTAAGAGAGAGTATATAAGTCCAACACGGGAATAGGCATCATGTAAGGGCTAAGAGGGTATGTTAAGATTAATAGCATTATTCACGAGCTGTCCCTCGAATCCCTTTAGGTCTTATTTGGATTAATTGTTAAAATGTAATTTATAATTAATATGAAAATTTTAAGTTTTATTCATAGTTATTATTTATAATTTAAAATTTTTTATTTATTACGATTAGATATTAAGAACAAACAAAACCTTTAACATTTAGGTGTGATAGTGCTTTTTTATGCAAATTACACCATTAAAACTCGTGTGAGTAAAATAACAATGGCATGCCTAGATTTTGAAACAATTTTGTGTAGAAATGGAACTTCGTTTCTATTAGACTTTCCTCAAAATGCTAGTTTTCTAGATACTAACTCCAATTTTTAGAGAATTTGAACTATCTCAATAAAATTTTGACTTATTAAATAAATTTTTTTAGTCATATAAAATTAAGTTTAATGAAATTTACAATTTTACGTAATTTCATAATACAACAACTTGAATTAAAAGAAAGTTATTATCACTTAACCACCTTTGAGAAAGCAGCAACACACAAATCCTTACCCCTCCCTCCTTTTTCTACTAATCATTCTCACTTCATAATCCAATCTGAGCAACCTCTTTTCTCCTATATTTGTCAGCATTCAATTTCAAACCATGTGCAGCAAACGTGCCCTCGTATCCCTCTTTCATGTGGGATCACTTGTCTACTTCAGTGTTGGCAACAAGAATCTCCTTTACTCTACCTTACCTTAAAATAATAATCACATTATTAGGGCAACCTCTCATCCCCCATTTCCATGTTTTCTCTTCTGCCTCAGGACCGTAAATATTTTCATCTTCCCCCAATAACCCACCATAGTTAGTTTATTCCTAGTCAGGTAGACCTTTGCCTAAACAAATTTTATTTGTACTCGGAGTTCTATTAAACTTTGCCCATCACCTTGTCCACCTCTCTTTCTTTGAGAAATTCTGTCTCCTGCTCCAAGCAAAGCTTTCACCTTTATTTTATTCTCTCAGCCTTTGCTATTTCTTTCTCTCTCCTTTTTAGCTTCTGGGTTTCTGTGCTCTTTATTGCTTTCATTACCTTCATTGAGATCTGGTTTCAAGGTATGGGTTTTTATGGCACTAACTCTAGAACCATAAGCACAAAGAATGGCCTAAATGCTCTCTACAATACACCTGCAGAACACTGCTTTGACTGTAATGAGCATAAAATCCGAGTTCTTTTCATAAGGATGATTAGGAATTTTGGCTTGGCATGTTTTCTGCCTCCTCGGCGGAGGAGAGGCTTGGGGAGGAATCATGGCAACTGTGAGAAGAAATCTGGGAACAGTTTGGAGAACAAGGCATGGTTGCTTGCAGAGTCTGGTGGGACTGGAGCAGAATTGACTACTGCCGAGCCACAATCTGTGCACTCGTCTTTCAGGTTTAGTTTATGCTCTCAAGTGGAGCTTGAGGACATGAATGCGACATCTTTGACCTCTGCTACGGTTTTAATGGTGAATTTAGATAATGGGTTTAGTGAGGCAAGAACTAAGGAGATGAAATGGAGAAGGATTGAGTCTCTTGAGAGAACCATCTCACCCGTTGCCAATTCTTTGGTTAGGCTCAGCTATGGTGAAATTCTTGCAGCTACTCGAAATTTCTCTAAAGGTGTGTGCTTTGGTGGGGTTTTCTTCATTTTTCTTGTACTGATTTTGGGGCTTTTTTTTTTTTTTTTCATCCTTCCTGCTTTGACTGACATCTTGATTGGTTTTCTTGTATTGGCTAGGCAGAGTTTTGGGAAGAGGAGCTTTGAGCTTTGTTTTCAGGGGTAGAATTGGGTTTTTAAGGACTGCTGTGGCTATTAAGAGACTGGATAAGGAAGACAAGGAGTCCCCTAAGTCCTTTTGTAGAGAATTGATGATTGCTAGTTCTCTTCACAACCCATATATTGTTCCTCTTTTGGGGTTTTGTATTGATCCTGAGGAGGGCCTGTTCTTGGTGTACAAGTATGTCTCCGGTGGAAGCTTAGAGCACCATTTGCACGGTATGCTTTATTTTTCTCCCATGGGAAATTTTGTTTGAATTTTTTATGAATTTGAGTGAATTTACGATCCCCCAATTTTGCAGAGAAGGACAAGGGAGTCAAGACACAGTCTACGGGGCTTCCTTGGTCTGTGAGGTTTAAGGTTGCCTTAGGAATTGCAGAGGCAGTAGCATATTTACACAATGGAACTGAAAGATGCGTTGTTCATAGAGACATTAAACCCTCTAACATTCTCCTTTCTTCCAAGAAAACACCAAAGGTAAGGAAACTTGTTCTATGAATTTCGCGACTGGTTTGAATTGTTGCATATAATAGTATTAAGGCAGCTTAGTTTATGCAATAGATAATCTGATTTTGAAATCATGGTGATGGCAGTTGTGTGACTTTGGATTAGCTAGTTGGACATCAGCACCCTCAGTTCCATTTCTTTGCAAAACTGTTAAAGGAACATTTGGGTAAGATTTCAAGAAAATTTATCAGAGAAAACAAAAATGAAATTTTTAACATTCTCTTGTTAAATGTTCAATTAATACTAAAAGTTTGTTGATTCTTTTCCCCATTCTAACCAAAATTAAATTTGAATATGCAGTTATTTAGCTCCCGAGTATTTCCAACACGGAAAAGTATCTGATAAGACTGATGTTTATGCTTTTGGGGTTGTCTTGTTGGAACTGTTAACTGGACGGAAGCCAATTGAGGCAAGAAGGCCTCCAGGAGAAGAGAATTTGGTTCTTTGGGTAAGTTCGTTTTGATAACTTAGGCTTTTTTTCACTGTCTATGTGATGATTGAATAAATGGTCCCATAATAGGTTCCCATTGGGGGTTGGTAGTAGTCAGTTCTCTCTACATCAATTGGCACCACCAAAAAATGCTTAAAACCACATTTAAACGATGACTACTTCATGGTGAAATTACTCCACTGTGGTCCAGAGAAGCATAGATTATAGTTACTCATGAATAATTGGATACGTATCTACACCAGCATTTCTGTGGTGATATATCGCATTCTAATGGTTTGGTTGAAACTTCATTCTACAGATTTATGATGACTCTTGAAAACAGTAATTATCTGGAGCATTGATTTTATAGTGGTAACTAGGATTGTAGATTTCTCCCTGGCCCCTCAAAATCTGTGGCTTTTAGAATTCTATGAAATCATCTGAAAACACATAGGGAGTTAGGATTTTGCTTTCTAGAAATAGAGTTGGGAAAGAAAAAATAATCCCTTTCTGTAGGCATCTACGATGAAGCCTCGAGAATCAGTTTATTCTAAAATGATTTGAGAAATGCCGCTGTATTGAAAAGTATGTATCTGTCATGATAAATAACTCGACATGGCTTTTAAGTAGAAGTTGTGATCAGGAACTTTCCATTTTCATTTTCAGGCAAAACCTCTCTTGCATAGAGGAGTGGCAGCTGCTGAAGAGTTGCTTGACCCGCGGCTGAAATGCCGTTTGAAGAATTCAACTCAAATAGCAAGAATGATTCAAGCTGCAGCCGCCTGCATAAGTAATGAAGAATCTCAAAGGGCAGGCATATTTGAAATTATGGCCATACTGAAAGGTGAAGAAGTACCATTTTATTCTTTTAGAAAGAGGTCCAATTTTTCTGGAATCATTGATTGTTACCCTCAATTACAACAGACCAAAAGTGAGATGAATAGTCACTTAGCTTTGGCAATGCTAGGAGTTTCAGAGTTTGAGGATGATGATCATCTTTACCGTCGCTGAAACGTACTGTCAATATAATCTACGTTTTAACTATTTATAGTTTCAACCAGTTTTTCTTGCTTTGCATGCTTGAGGAGAAAGAACTAGGCTGAAAATTAAAAAAAAAAAAAAATAATAATAATAAAGAAAAAGGTATTCAAATTGTAATTGGGAAAAAGAGTCTGATGAGATGGTGTGTGTAAACATCCAGAATTCACATGTCCCCTACTCTTTAGAGGGAGAGTTCTCTTGAAAAGCTTAGAACACTCCTTGATGTTGATGGTAGTGTTTAAACTGTTCAATTTTGATTGTTTTTCATGTTTGAAGTAAGCGTAGAGAGGCCTTAATTGTCCTAGAATTTGCCAAGTTATTGCAGCATTCTCTTGCTTTTATTACTTTCCCAAAATCCCATTTCCAAATTTGAGACAGCAGATTCGAACATGAGACTTTCAAAACAGCAAAGCTTTTAGACTCTCAGATTTTGATTAATTTGAAAGGAATCAATCCCCATATATACAGCTAAGCTGAAATGACAAATAATCCTTACAAATCAAAACCAGACAAAAAATTAGTTGAAATGACAATTCATTTTCATTCTTATGGTTCTGATTTTTATTGAATGCAAGCAGCATGCTTGTGGAATGAATCAAGGTATGTTGTGGAGACTGCTTAGCAACAGTTATTTTGATGTATGCAGTTCAACAACTACAAGCATTTAATTGAACCAAATTAAAAGACACAAAAGGTAACAGTTTAACAACCAACAACAATAATCTAAGAAAACCCAGTTTTTTTTCTTTTTTTCTTTTTTTCTTGTTCTTTCTTTTGAACAGATACAATTTGGGGTACGGGGATGGAAGAAAACCCAGTTTCTTATGATCATGAAAAAGAAAGAAACGAATTAAGAGAAGATCATAAATAATTTATGCAAAATGGAGAAAAAAATAATGTGAATGCCTGCAAAGAAACACACAGATTTTAGAAAATCTTGGCGACATCTTTCATTAAGCCACGGTTGGCACGGGCGAAGTCAGTAAATTCCTGGTAGGAAATGTAGCCATCCCCATCAGTGTCAATCTCCGCCATCATCTTTTTAATTTCGTCCCCCGTGACGGAGCCGATGGTCTTCAGAGCTTCACCAAGCTCTGCGGAGGATATCTTGCCGTCGCCGTTGGCGTCAAAACACTTGAAGATGCGTTCATGCTCGGCCTTCTCAGCATCATCCATTGTTTACAGTGTGATGTTCTCAGACTTAAAAATGGTTAACTTGGGTTGTGTTTCTTGAACAAGAATGAGAGATATAGAGTGCATGAAGTTGGAGTTTTTAAAGACGATTTGTAGGAAAATCAAGGTGGTCCTTTGAATTCGGGTTTGGCGCTATGACCGAATCATGTGTAGAAAAGTTATAACTACCAACTGTTTTAGCGAGGAACCCTGGATAATATTTATTGTAAAAAGGTAAAAATCAGTAATTTTGATATTTAAAATATCAAGTCTCCATATGAAATTATTTAAAATAAAATCTTGTTATATGTTCGACACTATGTGACTTAGTAACCATTTCTTTTGTGAGAACGTATCTGGACATAAAAGTCCTCAAATCTATTCTCAAATACTACTACCTTATCTACTACCTTATCGCACTACTCTTTATCCCCAACAATTCTCCCAAGTCAAAAAAAAATAAATAAATAAAATAAAATCTTTTTATATGTTAATTTATTGAAAATTTTTAAGTAATTTCGTAAAAAGATCTTGACATTTTAACTATCAGACCATCATGATTTTCTGCAATCCCATATCTATCTCTCTTTCTAATGCATCTGCAATATTGTTTGTAGGATCTACTTTTGTATCGAACGATTGGTTTGACAACTGTTCATATCTAGATTAAGAAATTTGGAAGAACTAACTATCAACTAGTAGAAAGGAAAAAAAAAAAGAGCAGTTTCTTGATGCAAAGATGACTGTAATCCGCAAGATTCAAGTAATTGATAGCAATATCAAAGGTAATGGTTACAATAGCAAGAAATTACGAGGACATAACTCAGCTTATTTAACGAATCTCTTCATAGTTGAACACCATGGCATAGCCGACAAAGAACTGGAAGATTTCTTTACAGCAGGAATGAGAAGCAAATCTATGCTACAGACTTAAGGATGGTGTTTAGCACAGCTTCTCTAGTTGGCAAACTTGGAATTGCACCTCTCTGTGTCACAGACAATGCACCACAAGCATTGGCAAACTTGAGAGCATCTCTCAGTCGATCTTCGTCCTGAAACATAAACATAACATGTTACTACCTAATGAAGTAACCAAAGACTTGTGTAAAAATTTGAGGTTATAATTCTTGGTTTCTCAAAAGAAAAAGAAAAAGAAAAAAAATCAAGACAATGATGCCAATCATTAAGTCAATTACTAGATAGAAGAAAAGGAGAGGCAGCACTTTCATTATTCCAAATTCTTTATCGAGATAGTCGAGGGTTTCAAAAGTGTCCTGAATTTTTCAATACCAAACATTGTTGTGATGCTCACACTGTTATGTTTCTACAAATTATGTTTATACTAGTAAACTTCTATCTGGACCAGCATGCATGTTATGATGCTTAAAGAAATAGAACCTGTAATATGACTTTTACCATTTGAATAGTGAAATTGAAATTAAATTAACAAGGGAAAACCAGGAACATAGACCAGTCTAGTAATAAAACATGGACGAAATTCAAGAAAGTGGTATATTTTTCTGTAGATGTTAGCATGTAAAATTATCAGATGTGTACACAGCCAAGGGCAGAATTGAATCTCAAATGCTAGACCCATCAACACAATCATCAAATATTTCATCAGGAAAAACGAGTCAGCACTCAGCAGGGACATGTAAAGAGACTGCAGACATGCAATGCACTATTGACCTGAGGGTGTAGTGGTGTACAATTATTTTCAATGGGAAATACCTGAATTAAGGAGAAATCAGAAGCTACATGTGATAAGACACCAGCAACAAAAGCATCCCCAGCACCAGTGGTGTCCACAGGATCTACCTTGAAAGCTTTGACTCTCCCACTGAACTCCTGCAGAGTACAATAGATTGTTCATTTTCAGTTCACAAATCAGAAAACTACCTCAAAGAGTTAATGTATTCTGCATACTGTGATTAGTAAACTGATTCTAATCAAAATTTCAATCTTGTGAGATGATTAATCTTATATGGAAATATTCAAAAATCAGGTGATGAAGAAAAATAATAAAATCAAGTCTTTACTTCTACCCCAAAGCTCTAACTTTCTGCAAAGCTATGTTGAGGCATATACCATATCCCCTAGCCCTAGGTAGTGCCAGGAGGTTATTATTTGGTTTACTAAAGCAGTTATTCTTTCGTCCAGTATAAACAGTAAAGACAAAAGAAAAATGTTAATTAAAACTGATTTCTTCCTACATAACTGTTTACATTATCAGAAGTTCTTGTTTTTGTCCACTATAAACAGTAAAGACAAAAGAAAAATGTTGATTAAAACTGATTTCTTCCTACATAACTGTTTACATGATCAGAAGTTCATATTTGAGGAACTTACCTTTGTGTAATACCTACAACCATCAGGGCCCTCAGTGACAAGGAGCAATTTAAGATTTGGATGGAAAAATTTACGGACAACAGCATCATCATATGGATCTTCTCCTTTGGTCAGAAAAGATATCTCTTCCTCACTTATCTGAAAATTAATGTCATACATCAATGAGATCATTAAATCTGGGACTCCATTTTACATCATTGCATTCTACCTCCCTAAATCATCTTCTATGGAAAGGATGGCTACCTTGACAATATCTGCCATGTCCCAAATGCTCATAATTCCTTCTCGAGCACTGTCTGCAGAGGGCCACAATGGAAGTCTTAGGTTGGGATCATAGGACAGAACAACACCAGCATCCTTTGCAGCTTTTGCAGCAGCAATATGAGCTGACTTGCATGGTTCTGTAATAAGACTTATGGAACCATAGTGAAGAACTTTTGCCTGCCAAATGACGAAAAGAAAAAGGAATATATGAAGAACATTTAAAATGTAAAACTTCATTGATAAGTTCCTAAGATAAGCAGCTAATAAAAGACAACAAGATCTATGAAACAAGATCACCAGCATGCCATTGAATGCGGTAAATTGTTTGAAAGCGTTTAAACAAGATCTAATACACCATGTTGACATTAGTGACTGATTGACTGCTGTTTGAATTTCAAATAACGCTTATTGGTTCAACAAGGTAAATTATTTAAGATTGGAAAGTAGGTGGCTTGAAGGTAGTCAACTATCAACAAATGGTACAGTTATTACATAATAGCTGCCTAAATTCTGAAATACAAGAAATACCAGTCTTTATAATCAGTAAAAGATATAGCTATATGTTATTTTCACTTAATGAACACTTGTAGCAACCTTAACATACCTTCCTAATCAAATCAAAATCAAGTTCAGCTTCTTCAAGCAACATATCAGCACTAGGATTACGGTAAAACATGAACTCACGCTCCCCATCATGCCTCAGTGTAACAAATGCCAAAGCAGTTCTGGCACCAGGATCAAAACGCATTCCTTGGTTGTTAACATTATTCTCCTTCAATATGTCAGCAAGCATGTAACCAAATTCATCTTCACCAACCTGTGCACATTACATGCTACATCAGACATAAAAGAAGAAAGATATCAAAAACATATTTCTTTTCTCTTTGTCTCTCTTGCTCTTCATATTAGTGCATAAAAGCAAAGGTTAATCCATAGCCATCCTCGGCTATCATTATCTTTAAAACCTATGAAAGTAAACAAATTTAGTTAAAACTTTTAAAAGGATACCTTCCCTATAAAGGCTGATGAGCCACCAAGACGAGCAATTCCAACTGCAACATTAGCAGGTGCACCTCCCGGGGCTTTCTTGAATGCAGGAGCATCCGCCAAGGAAAGGCCACTTACAGTTGGAACAAAATCAATCAACATTTCCCCAAAACAAACCACAAGGGAAGAATCCTTTGTTTCAGGTAAACCATCACGGGAAATTGCTTTTCCTAAAATAACAATAGATGAGAAATATAAATCAGAGATATTTAAATCACTAGAACAACATCAAAGCAAAACACCACTCAAATTAAGTCTGCATTGAATTAATCTAGAATCAATTATGTAAAGTACCTTGGACATGCAACCTAGGAGGCAAAACAAGAGGAGGACAAGAAATCCCTGGGGCTCTGGCAGTACGATGACAGAATTTCACGGAAAGAGTACGAGGAGAGGAAGTCAAACCCCCAACAGAAGGGAAGACAGTGGAGTGAAGAGCCATCAAAAGGGAATTCCCCAGATGAAAAAAGTAAAAAAAAAAAAAAAACCAGAACAGTGGAGTAGAAAAGTAAAGTCAAGGCAAATTTGTGGGCAAGAGAGGGATTGAAACGAAGTTGATGAATTTGGGGTTCATGATGAACAGATGAGAAATGGAAGTGGGAGTGGCATTGGGTTTGGAGTTGTTCTTGAGGAGAGTTAGAGGGAAAGACAAGCAGAGGAAATCACGATGAGGAGAGAATCAGGGGGCGGAGAAAGCAAACAGGGACAGCGATGGAAGAAGAGAGGGCCTAGCAGTTGTTGCCACCTTCACTTTGTGGCTCTTTGGAGAAAGAAAAGAACTTGACTATTTGCTTTGATGCTCGACAGTCGAAAGTGGCTATGTGGATTGGGATTAGAGGGTCAATTAGGATTGAGTTGTAAATCAGTTGAACGGAACTAGTTTAAAGCCAATTCTCCAACTCCAAATACGAACTTATTTTCAGTGTTTTTTTTTTTTAAATAAACTGTTGATCCAAGTTAAATGAGTTCAATTTCTCTTAATTAATATCTCAAATTTAAATTTTGTAAATGAAAAAATAAAAATTGAAAGTGCTTCCTGTATGAAATTCAACCTAATTCAGCTCCAAATTAACGAGGGCCATTGTGGTTTCTAAATAGGAAAATTAGCACCAAAAACAAATATGAAGTCTAGATTCGAATTTCAATTCTATCGTTGAATGTCCATTTGTGATGAAATATTTAATTATAAAGTCATGAAATTCAAGTGTATTTTCAGTTTAATTTTTAACACTAGGTAAATTGGGATATATAATACTGAAACACCAAGAGATGGATAACCAGTACTTTTTCAAATTAAATCCATTTCTAGGTAAAAACAAAAAAATGTTGTGGTAGACTTGCATAATTTAAATTATCAAATTGATAATAAATTTTTGACATTAAAAACTACCCCATTTAGTAATTCTTGTTTCATGGTTAAAATTTTAAAACAGAACTCTCTAACAATATTTTAACTTTTGAACTGTTAATCTCCTAATCTTATCTATGAAAACAACATGTCAAGAAACTCTAACTAACTTATTTAATTTTGAGTTTTAAAAAGTACTTAATATTGAATTCAAGCTCCCATGCCGTTCTTTAAACAAAGTAGAGAATATTCTTGTAATCTGATTCCTTAGCATCAAATTCTTAGACGGATTTTCTTAAATTAAAAAGGTATAATACAGTCAATATTATGCTATATTGCATTATAGTAATTATTAAATAGAAGTTAAAACTCTTAATAACTAATTATTCACATTTTATAATTTATTATAGTTTAGAGTTTTCTTTTTAAATTTTAAAGGAAATTTTTTGCTATTATTTTATACTTATTTTTTGTCTAAAAATTATGTTTATGTTATGTTTAAATCGATGTTATTGATACCGTTTCACACTAGTTTATAGTCGGTAAATAACAATTTTTTTATTTAGTTAAAATGATATATAAGGTTCAATTTCGTGTTGATCAAATTTCAACCATTTTGATCAAATTTCAGTGTATTGACAGGTATTTCAACATACCAGTCGATACACTAAAAATTGGTCAATACTAATCAATTCAAATGTAAAAACGATAAATTCTATTTTTGATCGTTAACTTTAATGTTTTGTATAATTTTCATTCTTTAACTTTTTTTATCTACTTTTTTAGTCCATCAACTATGAAAAATATATTTTTTTAGACTTTCTATCAAGTACTTTGTTAAGTTTGTATAAATATGCATAATTTTTATCCCTTAACTTAAAGTGGAGGAATGAAGAATATGCATATATTAGAAGTTGAAGGACTAAAACTATATATTTTTAGTCCCTTTTGACAATTTCAGATTTAAACTTCTGGTTCTCAATACTCACTAGTTGCTGCTCTCTTTTTTCAATAATGTTTTGGTTTGTCTTTTGCATTATTGTTATACTTAGAAGACATGATTTCTTTTTTTGTAAAAGTATTTTGTATTACAAATTGTATAATGTTAAACTTAGAACACTATTATGCTTTCTAATATTATCTTAATGTTCAAAAAAAAAAAGAAAAAAAATTATAGATTTTTTATGAAATTGGTCATTTTAAACTTGTTTTCAATTTATAGGAATATAATAGTTTTAAACATTAGTTTACATTATCATTATTTTAAATTTTGATATTTAATTTATAAAAATATATATTTATAACGATAAATTCGAAACAATATATAAAAATTTTAATATCTA